ATCGTCTCACCAACGCATACCCATTTTTATTTAAAAATTGTCAAATAACTCTTGTTCCAAAAGAAAATGATCAAGATAAAATCATCGAAAGAGAGAGTGAAAAAAATAATAGTTGAATGTTTGGTAAATGAGAAAATAAAATAAAAAGTGATTGAAAATAGAGATAGCAGTAATAGAAAAGTAAAGAAGAAAATTTTTAAGAGAAAAGAAGAAGAGCATGAAAATGAATTTGAGAGAGTTGAAAATAAATAAATAGTTCAGATACAAGAAGATAATATTGAGAAAAAATATTTCTTTGAAAATATGAAAGAAAAAAATAAATAAATTTACAAACGAAAGAAAAGAGAAAACAAAGTGAAATTTTTCCGTTAAACTGATTACTTATGCATGTTTGGATTTGAAGACAAATCCTCTTGAAGTTTGGGAGAATAATGAGATCATGAGTTCACTAAGCACGAGGGAGGAAACATACTAAAAATTCTCCAAATAAAATGAATATTTTATTTCATTTATGGTTTTATTTTATAATAGTTAAGCATTTTCGTATTTGCTCACCCACCTTCATTGCTTTGGTCATATCTGAAGTTCTAGGAGTCTGATTGACTTGATCTTTAATGTTTTAGAAATATTATAAAATAATATATAATGCATATATTGGGCTCAAGACAAAATTATGCTTCTTTATGGCTAGAAAATCATCATCAATAAGAATGCAGAGATGAAGGAAATGCAATGAATATCCACTTTCTCCAGTACCTTTAAGTGTGTGACCTTTCATTCTCAAGTCATTATTAATAGAATAATGCATCAAATTTGTAGCTTTCCATAAGTTAATTTTGTAAATTTAGAAAGATATCATTTACCTATAAATAGGGAGTTAATTATGAATAAAAAATCAAATTGAATTTTGTTAAACAAACACTTTGTGTGATTGAGAGCATTGCTCCATTGGTTATGGATTGAACCAAATTTTGATCTTATCAAGAATATAAGTTTCTTGTGGTGATATTCACTAAGGATTATCATCTTTTCTTATTCATAGAAATAGTGTGGAATCCAATTGCTATCCCTTTCCATCATTTTGTTTCTTAATTTTATTTTGTATCAATTCTGCCCAAAATTGAATATTACTTGTAATATCATAATTTCTACTCTATAGTATCATCATAAATCACAAGTTTCACAACTATAAAAAAGTATGAGAAAATGGTCAAATTACAAATCGGTTACCCAACAAATTCCTTCACTGACCAACAATGAAGAAACAGTGGCTCATATTTACCTTCCATCCTCGACTTTATGTCATATATAGTCGTGTGAGTCCGAGAATGAAGGGGTAAGAAAAAATAACTGGTTCATAAAGGGTGGTGGCTTAGAAAAAACTTAAAACAACCCGTACCATTGGTACCCAAAGAACTTACTCTTTCTCCCATGGCTAGGATGAAGTACTCTGATTGCAGCAGAAGATGTGAAAGAGCAAAACAACAGAAGGTTTTCCCTTCAATTACTCAACCCATTACTGATAAGCCTTTACGTACACCTAACTGGTGAGATGAAGTTGAGATGGGGCCTCCATCAAGTGGTTGAAAACCCCCACTTCAAAAGAAGTAAAAGGAAAACGAACCCCAAAAGTTGAGAAGAGATAATAATATAGAGGAATGGTACAATTACCATATTCTCCCTAGATTTTGTCATCTTCTCTACTCCAAAGAGATAATTCGCTCACATATGTAAAGTCTCCATTTAAACTCCCCTCTCTAGTGAAGATAAATATGGTCGGAGAATATATGGAACCTTCCCATGGGAATGATGGATTCACCAGATTCCTTTTCACGGTCTTCCAAAATCTTTAAGCCATATCACGTCAACAAATTCAAAGGCAAAAAATAAATAATTCAGAGGAGAAAAAACGGTAACCACTGTTCTGGAATAAAGAGAAAGAAAAGTCTAAATGATAAGTGACTCTAATTCTTCCTATATTTATGAACTTGCCATATGAAAAGAAAAATTTCCCATTAAAAGTCACTTCTTTTGCATGTGATACTCAAGTGTTTTGAGTCCCTAAAAAGATTATAATCGCTCCTCTGAAAAAACTTCTCAAGAGTTTTGATTCCCTAAACTCAAATGTATCTTCTATCACTTTACTATGCTCTCTAGAAATGTTGGCTTGAATGAAATTAAAGTTGCATAAGGAAGAACATTATCGACAACAACACAGGGCATAAAAAAAACCAAAAACACAACATTTTACTTATATAAAAAAACCCAACAACATAACTAACAAAGACTTCAATAATAACATAACCTTTTACTTATCTCAACAAAAGAAAACAACATATGTAACTCAACAAAAACCTTAACATTAACGAAAAATATTTTACTTGTATCAACAAAAATAAGAACATAACTAAGAAAACAACAACATAACTAACAAACATCATAACAATAACATAAACATTTTACTTATCTCAACAAAAACAACAACATAAATTAACAAAAAAATCAACATTAACAAATCTTTTTTACTTGTATCAACAAAAACAACAACATAACTAACTAAAAACCATAACAATATCATAAACCTTTAAATTGTCTCAACAAAAACAACAACATAAAACATGTAATCGTATCTTAACAACAACAACAACTTAAAACCTTTTATTAACTCAATAAAAATAAGAAAATAACTCAACAAAAAACATTCAATCAACAAATATGATTTAGTGTATCAACAACAAGAAAAATAAAAAAACCCTAAAGGACAAATAGTTTTAACAACAACAACAATAATAAAATAACTCATTAAATGAATAGTGGAAAATGTTTCACGTACGTATCAGAAATCTGAAGAGGAAGACAAAGAAATGAGTTTCCTATTTTTGTCTTACAAAGATGTGTGACACTATTCCTTGATCCATACTAATTGGAAAAATTATGTTAAAGTTTTGTAAAGATATATTGAAGTTATATGACTTTGGAATAGGCGTGAGAAGTTAAGGTTTCACTTATGGAGTTAGGACGAAAACTATTCCAAAATGAATAAAGTTCGCTTATATACGTAAGACTTTTCACCATGGTTAATAAAAGGAAACATGGTGTAATGTTCCTGGAATTAACCACACTTATTACTTTACACAATGGTGAGAGTTGTTTAATTTTACTTAAAAAATATAAATTAATGGAACCCACCTTTTTTTTTAACAAAAAACATAAAATTGTTGGTGATGGGATTCGAAGTGTGTCACTCCTTCACATTTCACCGCAATTGTTAATTTGAGTCATGGAGAAAAGTGATTTAAAAAAAGGCGTCTAATGAATATATGTTACTTCAGTGGAATAAATGAATGTAGTAAGAAATTGTTATGAAATGTATATTTTGTAATAGTGAAACCTTTTGTTATCGACTAAACTTAATAACCAAACATAATTTTTCACGAGTTAAGCTCATGAACCAAAGGATTTTTCACCCTCAAGACATTAAGGCAACTTTACTGACAAATATAAAGAAGAAGAAATAACACTAAATATAATGAGATAATGATTCTTTTTAGAAAATTGGTGTGTTATAGAATGAGGTGAAACCTTATTTATATATAAAATAATTTGAATAAAAAAGGAAGTTATCTATGAGCCAAATTGAATGCTTTAATCGATTTAACCATCATTTAATCGATTAAGACACTCGAAAAGGAGAGAACCCAAAGGAAACTCTCAACAACTTTTTTTAATCAATAAAAAGTTTTTCTAATTGATTATGAAGTTATTTTCCTTTCTTAATTGAATATACTGTGTCCCTAATCGATTAGAAAGTATAAAATATTTCCCCGATTGATTAGAAAAACTTCTTAATCAACCTCACACAAGTCTTGATATGGTTTTAAGAGATTCTGAGAGATAAGAGAGGTTTAAAGAAACTTTTCTATGTGTCTGTGATTGTCTTAGTATCATGAGAATTACTCTAATACCTATAAAATACACTGATAACTTAAACACAAGATCATACGAGCTTTCACACTTCCTCTTTTTCACAACTATGAAGCTTCAAGTTCCTCTACTTGATTCACTGATTTGACACTTTACTCTCATATTAAAGGCGGTCTCTCCAACGTAGATATTTATTTTAGAAAAAAACAAGTCAACATTAGTGGTGTTATTTATCTACTCTCTTCGTTCTTTCGTGTTTGATTAATCGTGTTTAATTGCACAAAATAACTCATATTATATTTTGTTAAATTATTTGTTTCTTTGATTCTTAGATTGTTTACTTTATTTTTTCATTATTTTTTATTTCAATTTCTTGATGAATTCACAACAAAGGGTTTTTGAAGTAACTCTAAGAAACCTTATACTACGAGAATAATCCTCTAGCAAGAAGCAAGATATCCATTACATCTAACATCTAAAAAGTGGTTGTTTACCTAAAAAATAATTTTTATAAGTCAAGATTATATTGAGTGAGTACAGGGGTACCATATCCAAAACAAAGATACAATAGTGAGTTCTTACTATACAAGACAAATGACTTGATCTCCAAGTTTCTAAATTACAATCACCAAACCCAATAAACTTATTAATAAATCATTCTCAAGATAGATAGAACTTTAGCATGAATAAACATATTCACCACATATTTGATGCCTATATTGAACAACACATCATTTCTACAAAATCATAAAGACCAACACACAAATAACCACATTAGACCACTCACCCCTTGGTTGATCCTAACTTTATACTTCCTACGAAATGACTTGAAATTTTATGCAATTGAGACTTGTGATTCAACAGGTTCCATTCCAATCCAACCATATTTTTCTTGAAATGAACAATTCCATAATTATATGTTTTTGACAATTACATCATCCTACAATCATAGCACCTACAAGGGTGTGTGGTGCCTAACATCCTTTCTAACATCTCAACCACTGAATTTCTTGTGTGTTTTTCTATGGTTGGATGAACATTAAATGGGGAAAGTAAGTAAATACATAAACTTAACTTTATGAAGAATGCGATTTGAAAAAAGCCAAAACACCCACAAGAGGTGCATTGATGTATGTTGTAGGTTCTGAGTGTACAAAATCAGCTCTAGAATCCACATACTCATCATTTATATTAGGTCCTCCAACAACAGCCCCTAAAAGCAAATTAGGGTTAGGATTTTGGTTTTCAAAATAAGAGGATCCTCCTTTGCAATTAATTGGTCTTGGATGTTGATCTATGGAAGGCAATGATGATGCACGATGATGTATTCTTTTAGGAAATTTTTGTCCATATCCAACCATGTATGACATACTCAATGGATTGCTTCCTAGTATGTAATCTACCTGTAAATTTTATATAAATAAAATTAAAAAACTTCAAAAATTTAATCTTTTTGCTAAAATAATTTTAGACTAACTTTTATGCATACATACTTGGCTTTTTGCTAGTTTTTTAAGTCTCGTTGAAGAAGCTATAACTCCACCACCACAATCAATCTTTTTATTTGCTTGATTCAAATATCCAGCATAAACTAATAAAAGAAATGAGTATGATGTTGCATGCTGCAAGTTACTCCCACTAGTCTTGAATAAAAGCCCACCTAAGTTTAGAAGAAAAAAGAGCCCACCAAATAAATTTAAGAATATAACAAGTTCAATTAATTTAAATTATATATAGCTTATAACAATGAAATGCATATATGTAACCACCAACAAAAATAGTAAATTTAATTCAAAGATATTAGAGATAACAAAAAATAGTATAACTTGAAATATTTGCTAGGATTGGTTAAATTAGTTAGGAAAGTTAGTTAGAGAATAACTAACTCCATAACTTGTTACAATCTTGTTTGGTGTTCTCTATTATGCATAGTTTATACAATATGATGTCAGATCAAGTAAAATAAGTCCAATTTCAACTATTTGTATGTGTTTATTTCATTTTGGTATAATGTATGAGGGTGAATTCTCCTATGTATAATGCCTTGGTAAAAGGTCTGAATTTTCCCCCATAATCAGATTGGAGAGCTTTAATATTAGAAATGAGTAAAGTTTCAACATAGTTTTGAAATATTTGAAAAGTAGGTAGAGCATCAATTTTTTGTTTGAGTAGATAAATCCAAATGTATTTGGTGAAAGCATATACAAAAATTAAAGTAATGTGAGTAGCCACTACTAGAAGAAGTAGTAGATGGACCACAACAATGAGTATGAATTCATTCAAAAGGACAACCATAAATAGTTTCAAACAATGACGTATGAAGTCTTCGTTATTTGCTAAGACAATAGGAATTTCAAAATTCAACAAAACTTGTATTGCACAAGTGTACTTTACACAACTCAAGAATACTATGAATAGCTCTCAGATTTGCATGACCTAATCTAGAATTCCAAAGAAACATATTATTGGTAATAGAACTAGTATTATCATAACTATGAACATAAGTAGTATTATTTACAAGAGGGCATATATTTTGAACTAAAGTAGATGCATGTGATTTGACATGCCAAAATACACATTTTATTCTTGGTAAATTTAGACATATAAATTATAATCCTAGTAATGCTAGGAACATGAAGTAAGTTGTTCATATTCAACATGGTATTGGACACAAATTTAAATCCGAACTTTGAGAAACTAACAAACTTGATTGCTAATATATCACCATTATCAACTAGAACTTTATTTGGACCTTTAAAACAGTGTTTATTTTGTAAATTATAAATGTAGGAAGTAATGTTATGGGAAGCACCTAACTTTGCAAACCAAGCTTGTGATTCAAGGCATTAATGTAGTTGGAGTTCATCTTGATGAGTCAGAAGAGTAATTTCTTTTGTAGATGTAGAGGCTTGATTCTTATGACTCCTATTATCATTAAAGGTGCCATTTTAATATGAGGAATATGTCTTAGACTTCGATAGTGGAGGATTAAAGAACTCATCATATTTGTACCAACAATCTACTAATAAGTGACCATATTTGGTGCAAAGTTGACATGTTGATTAAATACATGTGGTGTAGATTTGTCTTACATGCCTTCTATAATATTAAAGCACCCCCTACCTCAAGAGTATGGATAGGATCCTAATGTTCCAACATTTCTACCATAGTTATGTCTGGTTACGGCCAGAGCAACAATAGTAGTTGCACTTCTACCATAGTTATGTCTGGTTACGGCCAGAGCAACAATAGTAGTTGCACTAGAAGTTGACAATTCTTAGCATAATTTGTCTAGCCGAACTTCTCACACATAAAAGAAGGGATTCATAATAATATATTAAGTTGGCTCTACCTTACTATAGATCATTATTATGAACTGTTTTTTCTATGAAATTATGATTGGCAGGTATTTTGGTAAAACTAACTTGGAAGTAACATGTTGAACAAGATATTTCAACTTGCAGATTTAACATGTCAAATGTGATGTCGTAACCAGAAGTATAGGACGTCTGGACAATTACAATTTTGCGGTTTGGAAGATGTTTCAACTTGTTGTTTGAACATGCCGAAAGGGATGTCCTAACCAGAAGTATAGGACATCATGTATGCTATAGTTGACAGTTTGGATTCAGTTATTGTGATTTAATTATTGAATATTACGGGAATATTTAGTAATCCTATGTGGCATCTAAGATTGACAAAACAGAGATATTATTTTGGTTTTTCAAGATATTCAAACTTTCTAAATTTGGAGACATTTTAGGAAAGTTATGATTGAAGACCTATTTTCTTGGAGAAGTTTTTGTAGACTTTGTGCAACCTCTTTGCTTTGTTTTTGAAGCCCAAATCTAGTTGGGAAATAGGTTATAAATAGAAGTGGTTCTAACCTAGAAGAGTACGGGCCCAGAATGTAGAATCACTATGGCTTTGGCATTATGCCGCTCTCTAGGAGATTTGGTTTGTATGATCCACTCAAGTTATGAGTTGGACTGTGTTACAGAGTTGTAATCTCTTTTATTGTTCTCCTCGGAGCTTTTAAGCAAAAGATAGTATTATTCTTGGAGGAAGTTGTTAGGAAACTCTAAGTATTGTTTTTGATCAAAGTTGTGAAGCAAGATCAAGTATGTTGTTCTTAATCAAGGGGTGTCTTGATTAAGGTGTGTTTTTTGTATTTGAAGCGTGATCTTAATTTAGGTGAAATGTCGTTGATACAGTAACTGGGACTGGGACTGTTAGACATCATTACGGTGATTGGAGGTAAGATAAGATTTCTTATATCTAGGGAGGATCTAGATAGAAGTTTCACAAGGTAGTAATTAAGTGATAAGTTGTAAACTTGGGATTAGTTTATCTTTGAATTGATATTGTCTAGTGAATTTCCTTCCTGACTTGGTAGCTCCCGAAGTAGGTGTTTGTTTGCACTGAACTGGGTTAATAATTCTGTGTTATTTATGCTTTTCAGTACTGTTTTGTATGTTTATACCTTACCTCTGTGTTTTAAGTCAGATCAGATGTCCCAACATGTCATAGGACATCTGAAGTATGATGTACCAGAATTTCATGAACAAAGTTATCACCTTTTTAACTTTTCTAACCCTATAATCTTATATTCTCTCATTCATTTTCTTATATTCTTCATCTTTTTTCCGAATATCTTCTTCTAATCTTTGTCTTCTTCTTCGATTATCTTCATCTTCTTCTATTCTTCTTCCATTTACTATCTTCTTCTAGATCACATTCAATTAAAAAGTAAAAAAAGAAAGAAATCATCCAAATCGCTCCACGCATGTAGCGACCCACGACTCGTTCTAAGAAATAGTGTTTTGGCACCTGCGATCGTTAAATGGAATCTGCACCTTGGGTCCGTCGCACAGAGTGGCCGCTCCAGCTGAAAATTCCGAGATAATGATGATAGTGGCCGCTATTAATAACTTTGATTATGAAAGAATTATATTTTTTAGACAGAATAGGAAGAATTGCATCTATTATATTTATGTAGATTAGTGACTAATCTATCATGACATAATAACCACACAAAGGTTTTGACTCTTTCCTACACAGTTAACTGCCATACATCTTTCCTAATGGTGTCGGTATTGCTTGCTCAGTAGTCGTTAAGCTATTATAATACTTCTTGATTGTGATCCCGTTTGTGCCATACCCTCAGACCACTAAATCATCCTGCCCATATGCATTACACGATGATGTTAACGCCTTAATTTTATCCAGCACCCAAGTTGGCAGCCACTCCAATAATTGCTAGTTCCAATCACCATTTGTGCTAACGAAGTCTTTTAATTTCAAATTCTGCTGCTATGTACGAACAATTCTGCAAAGGATTAATTATTTCTCCATTACCAATATCCCAAATTACACACTCAAGAGTGTCATCTTTAAGCTTGACAATATCTTTCCATAGCTTAGAATGAGCCACCTTTGATGTACTATTGAGCATATTAGAAACCTTATATTTATTCCTTAACACAGTGCACCAGAGATCCTCCTCCCCATTTATCAGCTTTTCAATTAGTTTCATATAACAAGCATTATTCATGTGAAGCAACTTCCACAAACCTAACCCGCCGTGAAGCTTATCCTTGGTCACCGTGTCCCAATTTACTACATGACAATTCCGTTTTCCATAGTATCTCCCCATACAAAATTGTACTGGACCCTCTGTATGTCTTCAATGCAACCTATTGGCAATATATTCGTCATCATGGGGTATACTCACTACTAAAAAAAACACATATTATGTCAGACGTGAAATGCCTTAATTGTCGGTTCTGGATTCGAGGTAAGTAAGGTCGTGATAAAAGGTTATCCCTTATCACCTCAGGTATTAAAATATTGAGGGGTTAAGTTAAATACACGGATTCGATTCCCTTTCTCGACATTTTTATTATTTTCATAACTGGATAGCGCGCCCCTTATTAACACTCGGTTTTCTGATAAACCGAGGTAATATATCAAATTTATTACTTTGGTTAATTTTGGAAACCGAGGGGTCATATTTTGTTTCTGTTGTCGTCTCCAACTAAATTACAAAATACATAACCACGGAAAATAGAATACAGAACCAATGCAAACCCAAAATGGTCTGCCCATTCCTTAATTTGAAACAGAAATATTCATTGATTACACCATACGCAATATCCAAAATGGCACACACTTTATAATTTTACATCAAAACTAAAACAAATGATTATGAAACAAAAGCAATAAACAATTTACTTACTAGTTTTTCCATATGCCCTCTTCATGATAACGGAAAATAACATGCATGTCATCTAAGTCATTTTCTTCGTATGATTGACTTACACGTGTTGCTAAACAAGGAGTCTCATAGTTAAATCTTGATTTTCATCAGTATTATCAGGAAGATGTTGGTAAGATGCCACAGATAGTCACTGGTAGAAGTTGTTGCATCAAGACATGATAATCATGAGATTTTAAGCCAATTAATTTGTGATCGTTCTTTGGCACAAGTTTCTTCACATTTGATGAGTACCATTGGGGAACTTTGATACCCTACAAACAATTGCAGAAACTTCTTTTTTTCTTTTTTAGATAGAGTGTAACATGGTGGGGGAAAATAGGTTCTATTTCCTACTTCTTTTGGGGCTAATTATTGTCGTATACCCATCGTAACCAAATCTT